CCAGGAAAAGAGAAAAAGCGGAAAATCAAAGAGAAAAAGCCAAAGGAGGGAACAAAAGAGAAGGGGAAGAAGAGTGAAGAGGAGGAGACCCTGGGGAAAACCCGAAAAAGGAAATCTAAGGAAGAAGGAGAAGAAAAGAACAACAAAAAGACTAAAAAGGAGGAGAAAGAGGAAGAGAAGAAAGAGGCAGGAAAAAAGTGGAAGTGGTGAGTGTCCTGTGTGCTTTTGGCCTGTGAGCAGGTCTAACACTGATGCAATTGGGGTTTTAGCTTTATTTCTTAGGGTAGAACTGTGAAAATTCTTTCTTTTATTACTATTTGTAACTGCTCTGCTGTATTTTCTTCAGCCTTGAACTCGGCACTCTTGGCAGGAGGAAGGGGTTGAGAGATAACAGGAGGTCCTGAATACAAAATAGTATTTGTATAACAGTGTTGGGTATTTTTAATCTTACAGCAGTATGTACAATATATATATTCCTTCTGAAATGGCTTTGCTGGTGCCCAGCCAGGAAAGGGCGATGCTCGTGGCTGGTGGAAGGAGACGATCCCCGCAACCCCCTGTAACCAAGCAGCTTCCAAGACAGCGGGACCCGTATCGGGGAGTTGCAGAGGACATAAAGGGGCTTCATTTCCATGTGCCCCTGGCTTTTGCAGCAGTTTTTGGATGACCCACTCAAGGTTTTTGACAGGAGAGCTTTGGGAAAGGGTGTATGAGCAAGGCTGACAGATGCTGTATTTATTTTGGCAGGGAGCGGTGGCTTTAGCTGCTTGGTGTCACTCTCTCCCGGAGCACCCCAATATCTGAGGCAGAGAAGAAGCATTTAGGGGGCTGGATGCTTTGGACCTGTTGCAAAGCCAGGCTGTGGGGAGCTGCTAGGGTGTTATCCCAGACACCCATGTGTGCCTGGACCTTTGGGACAGCTCTTGTGGGGCACAGGGTGGCACAAAAAGTGGGATTATGCATATTTTTTTTTGCTAAGTAATGCCTTGTTTGGGGGAGTGGGGGGGACTGGAGACTGGCACGAAGGTGAGAGGCCAGCTGGAACACCAGCTCGATTTGCAGCAATTTTTGCCCCCAAACACGTGCGGGACTACATTTCCCATAAGGCTGCACTGCCTTGGCACGTGGGGAGCATCAGACTTGGCTTGGACACAGCGGTGGCTTCTCATGGCAATGCCTTGGGCACCACCACCACCTCCACGTCCTGGTGGGTAGCGGGGTGACCTGGGCAGGATGCGTGGGGTGAGCTGGGCACCCCCCAGCCTCTCTGTCTCTCCGGCTGGTCAGCGGGATGTACCGGCATCTCGCCTCCTCGCTGCTTGGCTGCAGGGTCCGTCACCCCTGGCTCGCCCCCGCTTGCCTCCGGCCGGGTTCGGGGGGCTGCGGTAGGTGAGTGCAGGCAATGGGGCATCGCGTGGGTTTGGGAGGAAAGACAGAGCCCCTGCAGCACCCGGCGGATCAGCCTGGTGGCTGCCTGTCTCTGCGAGGCTTTCAGCCAAGTTTTCTGTAGCTTGCTGATTTTTCTTTTAACATCTTCTTTTTAATACGTGTTCCTGGCACAACGCACCTTTTGATGAGATTGATTTATTCCACCCCGCTTCCCGTGGGGAGGAGAAAGGTCAGAAATACTTCCGGGGCGTTGCTGAGCAAGAAGCATGGGAGTTTTCCTTCCCAGGGGTGGAATCTCGCTGTGTTTTCCCAGCAATCTTTGTTTTCCCGGAGACGCTGGGGTTAACGGGCAAGTGACCGGCTGG